TTGTTATGATCCGAAACCTCTCACACTCAGATAAGTTTTTGTACCAATTTCTTGATACTTCAAGAAGCAGCTAGGCTGGATTATCCTGTAGCAATATATACATGAATGTACCAAAGATGGGCTCCTAGCTATTTTTCTGGGAATAACAAAAATGTTGTTTCCAAAATAATTCTATTCTTCTAGATGGAGATAATTGGCAGCCCAACTCTCTCTCTCTCTCTCTCTCTCTCTCTTCGTTGTTTTGGGATGGGAGGCATGAAACTTGAAAGTTGATTAATGGGTATAGGGGTTGGCGTTCTGTGGGAGTGGGGTAGAAAAAACAAAGGGAGGGTTGTTGTTTTGATTTTTGCCGAGGGGTGGGTTTTTGGGTTCTGCCTAAGGAGAGTGGTTTACCAGGGGAAGGGGGCCGATTGGTTTTGTGGGTCGCAGGTTGGGGGGAGCTTTGGGTTTCTGGTGCGTGGGGGGTTACAAGGACAGAGAAGGAAGGGGAGGACTTGGTGCGATTGGGGGAGAAGGGATGGGTTGGGTTTTTTTTTGTTTTTGTTTTGCCCCTTCTAAAATCTATTTTATTTTAATGTTTTTTAAGTAATTAAAAAACTTATGTACACAAAATTACTAAAATACCCCTGCCACGTCATCAAACTTAACAGACTTTTGGACGGAGTTAACGGTAGGGGCAATGTGGAACATCAAACTTTGGTCAAGGGGGCAATGTGGGTCACTTTAACTTTCAGGGGGTAAAGTGAGAATTAACCAATGTTTCAAGGGGCACACTGTAGCATTTAAGCCTTATTATTATTCATGAAAGCCAAATCCAAAGCCAAGCCTATAGCCAAACCCATTGGCCCAACTCTCCAATGATAACCTTACTTATCAAACTAGCACAGTGCTTTGTTTATAAACACCTTTATTTGAGTGTGGATTTTCGATGTGGGATTTTCATAAAGGGCACCTTAAAAGATACACATACAGAGAAATCTATATTTTTATTGTTGGCACTGTGTGAAAATATATTTAAAGCCCTTCAAGGTCTCCATGATGCATCTATCGACCCTGATATTATTTGGCTCTTATAGCTGATGTTTATTATTCCCTGAAGAAAAAAGACATGCCTTCACCCCCCACATCAGACATACCTGAAATCTTACAAATTCCGCCCCCCACATCAGACATTTCATAAGCTTTATATAATTCCTGAATCTGCAGTCTTCCTTGCCATTACAGGAAAGGAAATGGCTGCACTGGCTTTTAAACAATGAAATGGATAAAAATTAAACAATGGCATGTAAAAGAGTTAGCAGCACTGTTTCCATCTGATGGGACCAGCAATGGCATGTAAAAGAGTTGCGTAAATAGTTTCAACTATATGGAGGTAACAAGATTGTGTGGAGGCAATTAAATCATAATATTTTCAACTTTCCAGTTTGCCAGAATAAGCATGGCACATTTAAATCTAGGATCAATAGATGTCCTGAAAAATAAAAAAAACATCAACACCTGAAATCATGAGCCGGGTCTATTTATTATTTTAGTAGTAAGGAAATGGATCATTATGAGAAGAGAAATTGAAAATCTACGATGTTATTAGTACAAAATGAGTACAAATGCTGTTCTTCTCACAGAGCTGACATGTTTTGGTTCAGGCACAAGGACTGGTGACAATATCTGAGATCAATTTTATCAGGGAGCAGAGCCCACCCAAAAAATTATGGTCAATAACACCTTTGCCCTGGATGACATGCGCGAAATCGATGAGTTTGATTTCAGCACCTGAATTCCTCCCTTGCAGTATTGACTCCTTCTCATACACCATCAGCACTGAACAAGAATAGAAATGGAAAATGGTCTGCTCCTCAGACCATGACTTCAGTTCCAACAATTGTGCCAATATCCCAGCAGGATCACCATAGACAGTCGATGCAAAAGAACAATCTGGTTTGATATCTGAATCTGTAGATGGGTTAGAAGACACAAATTTCCTCAGAGCTAACCTAGTATCCTCAATGCTAAAGTATAGGACACACTTCTTCTCAGGCTTCCAAAATCTGTAGATGGTCTCTCTATCTTTCTTAAGACACTTTATGATATAATCTTCAGCAGCTTGCGGTACCATGTTCTGGATCCAATTTTTGCGTCTAATACAGATGGATTGATTCTACTTGAGACCTTATCTTCCAATGCAAGGTGAGGATACAAGCCAGAACCATCAGACGCCTCTAAACGCTGAGTGCCATAAAAGACAGGGAAGAACTTGCGGATGTGGTCTGGAATCCTAGTGTCAGTAGAAAATGATGTATAGAATGCTAGCTCATGGGACCACGCCCATCATTCTGAAGAGGCTTGTAAAAGTGCCCTGAATCATCTATACGAGGGCCAAGCTTCCCATCACCGGCTTGGCTGCCAGCAACTTGATGATCTGGGACCTTAAGCATAGTCTAGAATGTAAAGAAAATTATTAGATGGAATCAAATTACAAAGAGGTTGTCATTGTAGGCAGTAGACAATGAATAAGATTTTGTGAACAATAAATATAGTGCCTTTATGAATTCAAGGATGAAAATTGTATTAGCAATAAAGAAATCACTTGATTATATCAATTACGAGCTTCTCATCTTCAAGAAGTGAGATGGTAGCAAGATGTATGAGTTTTCTATTATGCTAAAACTCATCCACTCAGCACATTCAACTCAAAGATAATTAATGATTTCTTAGTCCCTATAGAAAAGCGGGTTCAAAATGATAGCAAGATGTATACTGGAGTAAATTCCCGCTATCACGTTTACATACCAAAGCTGTATATCTAGTGACATGCTCCAGGAAATCAAAACCTCCAGAACCCCTCTCTGTGTTTTTGGTTGGATGAATAAGTTTAATATGGGCCTTCTCAAATACCTTATAAGTAAAGAATGAAACTGTTGAAACGGACATCTTATAAAACCATGAGGCAGTTGACGCTTTCTTCAAAATTATGCAGTGTTTGTGTTCATGTAGCATGGATATCATGTCCACTCTTGTTTGGGTTAAATTGGGAAATTTGTTATATACCTTTGTGGCTGTTTATTCTTTTTGCTTGACTTACAAGTTGTTTTTGGATTATTTTGTCCATTTGATTAACTTAGGACAGTGTTGGTTTTCAGGCAAAGCGACTGAAAAAATGGGCTTAGGTTTTCGTATAAAACGAGTGACAAATTTGCAATGCAAACTTACTGAAACAAATATAAGAAGGCATTCAAGTTAAAAACTTCACTTAGGAAATGGTTTTATATCAATTTGTAAAATAAGTCTTTTCTAGACATCCATCTTTTGTTTTATATGCTGAAATGCAGAATATATTTTTGATATGGATATCTACGTATGTAGTTTGAATTTTAAACCGGATTATTATATATATATAAGTATATAACTATAAATCCAGGCCATTCTAATAATCTAAGCCTCAAATACACGAGGCATCATCAAGTTTTGAGTTTAGGGTTTTTATTTTTATTTTTATTTATTTATAAATTTTAATAACACTTTTAACATTAACATAGACCATTAGAGTAATTCACTATTTTTTGGTGATGCAATTTTGTTTCTTTCTCCCCAAAAAAAAAAAGGTTCTAACTTGACTTTGTCAATTGTTGTTGTTACATTGAATTGAATACATTTTGCCGATGTCCGTGAGGTATGTCTGAAAGAGATGCAGCCTTCGGCTTAAACAGTCTGGGTATGGGGGCATATCTTGATAGAATAATGGGATCACGGAGAGATGTTGTTACTGCCGCATGGAAGACTGGTCTTGAAGTTGAAGAGGGGTTTGGTACAAGGTTTGATATGAAAAGACCTCCATGTTTTTTCCTACCCATCTTATAGTTTATGGTTCCTTTGGACTTATTTTCTACTCTTATTTGCATTCAGTGCATAAGATGTTTGCGTAGAATCAAACCGGGCGGGAGAATTGGTGGATCAGCTACTGGGCTTACTGCTGTCCTATGTGTGGTGGAACATGGGTTCGTTCGAGTTGTAGATGACTGAACTGACTGTACCATGGAACGAGCTCCAAGGTGGACATGCACAAACCATTGCTGATCATTGACAACTGAATGATGTGGCGCTGCTGATTGTTGACAATTTCATAACAATAGTCTCCGGCGGCGGATCCAATAATTTTTCGTGTTCATAGTGGAGCACAGAATAATACAATTCACAATTGTTTACGATTTGTCCATTATGCGGGACTTCATAAGTACAAGGACAGAGCGGGAGCTAGACATAGCCTTCACTCTCCCCTTGATAGATCCGCCACTAATATGAGAGAAAATGATGAACATAGAAAACCTCAGATTTAAATATCTCAATGATTATTTTTGTTTTATTTTTTTAGAACATTTTCTATTGAGATAACGATAACATACTAAACTCCACACATACACACACTATACTAAGACTCGACCTAGGACCTTTCATGTTACAAACCACTACACTAGTTAGTCCTTATAAACCACGAATTTGAAAACTCATTACATATTAATCTTCTAATTAATAAAACTTTTCTTGATTTGTGCATTTTACCGACTCTTTAAATTCCAGCCAGGGTGCGCATAACAATAGTCATGCCTATTGCAATTCTCTTGCGATAAAAAAACAAAACAAAACAAAACGTATTGTAGGCATCAAAATGATATACGTGTTGAGGGCATCAAAATGATATAGGATGCATGACAATGCGAAAGCATGGCATTTACGAACAATTGACAGAAAAGGGCAGTTTTTTTTCTTTTCTTTTATTCTGCATTTCTACGAAGATTAGAGTTATTTAAAAATATTTAAAATAAAAATGAAATTATATTTATTTGTTAAATTGTAATTAAGGATTGGCTTCCTATTTCATAAATAAATATGAACCTAAACAGTTTGATGATCCAGGCACCTAGACTATTCATGCAATGTAGAAACATGATAACAAAAAAGTGCATCAGACTGAATGAAGTAAACAAAGGCAGCAACCACAAATCATGAGATAAAGAGAAGGCATAATTTTGATCGGAAACAAACAACGTAGAAATTGTTTCAATGTGTACTTTCAAAAGCAGCATGTATCCGACTTACATTCACTGACCCAGACCCAATTGAGTGACCCATCACACCCTCATCAGACACTTCTGAAAATGGTATATGATCACACCTAGTATCAACTAACATCCAATCATCCGCGCTACCAGCAGAATGTTCACCACCTCCGGAGTCACCGGCTCTGCTCAGGTGACCAGGTGAGCCAGGAGCAGATTGCGACGCATGGTCGATAGTAGGACAATTGTCGTTGATACAGCCATTTGAAGCGTCCAAACCGACAACAGAAACAGACTCGTATACTTTCTTATAGGGGGCAGAACAAGTAGGAAGCAACTGCTCTGGTTTGGACCCATTGGAAGATGAAATTGGCTCTGTTTGCTTCTCTAGGACACAATTTGGAACAAAATCCATGTTCTTTGCACTACAAAATGATGCTTTCTGTTTGTTGAATAATGAGGGGAGAGGTATGGCCCTCTGCTGCTTGTAAAAGGACATGGCTCTCTACAAAGTAATCACAAATCAGAAGTGTTAAACCCATATATTAGGCTATCACAAAACCAAATACCAATACTTAAAAAATTATTGTATTTTTATAACATAATCATGAAAGGGTCCAAATTTCTAGATCACTTTATGTTGGTAACTTGGTACTAATTATATAACATCTGACCATGTTCATACCTGAAAAACACAATCGTTTATGGCAACAAAAAGAGAAGCACTCGAGTTAAGTTTGGAAAGCTCCGCTTGGGTTTTTACAACCTCCTGTAAAACAAAGAAAATACCATTATGATCGAAAAATTAACATTATAGTAGATAAACCACAAGATCCAATTATAAATTTTACCTCCAGATAGAGAAGCTTCAAAGAATCTTCATCAACATTTTGACTCTGTTCTGCATCCATTAGTTTCAGGCATTGATTATATAACTCTGGATGAGTAAGCTCTGCCGAAATATCAAGCTTAGAAAGATATACAAGCCAAGGACGATCATCATCATCCTTGGATATCTTTGAAAGTTCAGGTAATTGTTCAGCAATACTGTTGGATGGTTTAGGTGGTTCCTTTGCTAAAGCATCACCGTTTTGACCAATTTCAATCTTCTGACTCTTGTCCACAAGATCATCACACCGGTTCTCTTCATTTTGAACTAGCAGACTTGATGCTCCGAACCAAATTTCATCCTCTTGTGTATGTACTGCAGGATCCTTTGCCTGAAGTACAGAAGGCAACTCTGGATTCACACCATCATGTGGGCCCTTCCACAGATCTGTTCTTGTTTCCGACCGCTGGCCATCAATTGGTTCTCTATTATGGTTCCAGTCAAGCCTCCCATATGCTAGAGAATTAGTCCGGGCAACACTGTTAATTTCATCCCACGCAAACAATGGAGGAGGCTGAGAGCCATCAATAGGATTCTGCCACCCAAATGAATGGTCTTGCCTGAGGAACCTGTCAGCATCATGGATACGATGGGGAAATAAAGAGCGTATATCCATCACAGGTCCGACACGATACATTGGCAAAGCAGAAAACTGATGCATAACTGGATGTAAACCAACAGGGGGAGGACCATGACTGAAATGAGTGAAGCTGTTCATTACTGAAGAAGGCCGATTTGGAACAGCGCCCCAGGCATTAACTGGAGCACCGTTCCTGGCATTGCCATACATTCGTCCAACAATGGAACTATTATTTCTCTTGTATCGATGGCGAGGTGGAGGAAAATTGGACCATGAGTTGCTAGGCAATTGATCAGCTTTGACAGAAGATAAAGAAGAGAAACCATCAATATCTTCCCGGGATAACTCACCTGTAGGAGGTGTCTCTGAATGCGGCTGCAAATTTCCTTCGCCTTCAGTACCAGATGAGTCTCTGTCCTTGGTAACACCACTCCTCTTTCCAAATTCTTTACTATCAAAACTCCCCTTAATACCAAGTGTGGTAAACTTAGAATCATCAACTAGATGCACAGCAGAAGCACAGGCATCAGGATTCAAGCACCTTTCAGCAGATAAGTCACCTAAATGGCTGTCATCCTTGTCAATCAGTCTCTTGGTAGGCTTAGACAAAGAAGACTGTTTGAGTACTCCATAAACATCTGCAACCTCCTTAAAATGAAGGAGACTATGCCTAACCCTTTCTTGAGGTTCAGAGTCACCAGACATCAATTCTGCTTCCCTTGAGTGCCTAAAGAAGGTCCACAAGGACATTCATTAGTAGAGGTTCTAGAGCACAAATATTTTGACAGTGATTGCTTCTTGTCAAACCAAATGACCAAAATAAAAAATAAAAATGAAGCACTAGCAACCATAAGATCGTTATGACGTATCCAGACAAACTCCAAGTTCCTATATGCAAATTGCTACTTAAAATTGTAAAGAACACATAAAAGTAGTCACAAGCTAATTTGACTGAATTAGAAAAGTTTCAGCATGTCACATTGTTCAATATTTCCCTTCATCATAGAGGATTAATGCCCGACATCCATGTACAACTCATTCATCTTCATGTCACTTATCAATATGGTCTACAAAGTCCATTTTTGAAACAGATAATTATTGGCACAATACCATTCATTCCAAAAACCACTACAACTAGGCACTGAAACATGCATAACCTTTCAACACTGAACAACAAATGCCTTTTCTAAGAAAAACAATGCTTGCTGCAGCAAGCAGACACAAAAGATGCAAAAAATAAATTCAATTGAACATAACAACACTTGCTGCATTCATGAGTACAATACAAGACTGCATTCTCTAAAAATCCTTACCACATGATGAGAACATAAAATAAGAAGAAAAACAATTACCTGCATTCGTCTTTCGCAACATGAGAATAGGAGCTAGGGAAACTCATCTGTCTTTTATGACTTGCATTAAAGTCTGCATCAACACAGCATTTGTGAGAATCTTCTTTATCATCGACAGACTTTACCATGCCTCTGCCTGTAATTTTCTTTTCTGCATCAGCGTGTTCCCTGGTACTTAGGCACCTACTGTAGATTTGGTCCTCTTTATCATCATCTCTCTTTCCCCTATCTTCACTGTATCTAGTGTTTTGACCATCGTCATAATTACTACTATCAAATCTTGATTTCTTATATCGAATTCCACCAGCATTACTTTTATCCCTAGTGTACTTAGTACCTGACCTGTCACCATTGTGATCTATTAAGGCATGCTCATCCTTGTGCCTGTCTTCCCAGTGTGTTTTCTTCCAATCAACATCTTCCTTAGACTTGCTATCCCTGTGCCTCCTATCTCTGTCAGCATCTTCTCCATATCCATCCTTGCAACTTCTGACACCATCTTTTCCATACTTGACCTTATAACTTCTGTCACCATCTTCTCCATACTTATCTTTATAACTTCTGTGACCACCATCTTCTCCATGCTTTACCTTATAACTTCTGTCACCACCATCTTCTCCATGCTTTACCTTATAACTTCTGTCAGCATCTTCTCCATCCTTATCCTTATAACTTCTGTCACCATATTCTTCATGTTTTACCTTATAACTTCTGCCAACATCTTCTCCATCCTTATCCTTATAACTTCTGTCACCATCTTCTCCATACTTGACCTTATAAATTCTGTCACCATCTTCTCCATACTTATCCTTATAACTTCTCTCTGCATCTTCTCCATGTTTAACCCTATAACTTCTGTCGCCATCTTCTCCATACTCAACCTTATAACTTCTGTCGCCGTCTTCTCCTTGCTTAACCTTATAACTTCTGTCACCATCTTCTCCGTGCTTCACCTTATAACTTCTGTCACCATCTTCGCCATACTTGTCTTTATAATTTTCATCATCCATGTATCTTCTATCCTTGGCATGCTTGCCCGTTGAAGACCGCCAACTATCATTATCATCTCTTACATAATCTTTATATTTCGACTTGTCAACAGAGCCATCTCTGTTCCTCCCAATTTGTTTCTCAAGCTCCTTCTTTAACTCGGGATTTCGCACCTCATCTTTCAAATACCTCTCTACACAGTGAAACATATAAACTTAAAAAGATACATGATATTACTCAGGTTGAGTGCACTCAATGTGTATAAAAATCATCAATACAAACTTTTCAAAGATGAATTATATCCTTATTAAGAAGCATCGAGACCTCAAATTACATTGCACATGGTACAATAGACATTAATAGGAACAATAAAAGTATTTAAAATAAAAAAATAAAAAATTTAAAGCACAACGTAAACACTCGCAAAGAGAATTCAATCACATTACCCATGTCATCCATTCCTTGTCCAACCTCTGGAACCTTCTCCTTCACATCCTTCCTAATCCTCTTAATATCTTTTCTCCTCTTTGAAGCAATGTACTCGACCTCAGCTGAATCTTCATTATCATCTCTCACATAATCTTTATATTTTCCCTTCTCAACAGAGCCATCCCTGCTCCTCCTAATATGTTTCTCAAGCTCCTTCTTTAGCTCGGGATTTCGCACCTCATGTTTCAGAAGCATCTCTACAAATTCAAACATATATACTTTTTCAGATGCATGATATCAATCAGTTTGACCGCACTCAAATGTGTATTCAAATCATCAACAGCAATGTTGGAAAAGAATAAAATAAAAATAAAAAATTCATCAAGATGCAGTAAAACCTCAAACTACATTGCAATCATCACCAGAAACAGCAAAAACTCAAAAATCCAAAACTCAAAGCACAATGGAAAACACCCACACAGAGAATTCAGTCACATTACCAGTGTCTTCCGTTCTTCTACGAACTTCTGGAACCTTCTCCTTCCCAACCTTCCTCTCACTATCTCTTCTCCTCTTCGAAGCAATGTGCTCGACTTCAGCCGAATATTCGACGCCATTGCCACGCTCTCGCGGTCTTCGCTTCTCATCGGGGCTCGAATCCTTAGAAACCCTAACCGAGCTCTCTTCTTTACAATTCCTGCTTCTTTTCGTTTTTACTTCGCTAACTTCTTCGTCAACTATTTCTATCTCCTCTTCTGAATCCGAGTGGTCTAATGCGGCGTCGTTTGAGCGGTGCTTGCTCTGCTTCTGAGTCCACTTCTGTCGAGAGTTCTTCCCCATGGTTGTTTAACTTCCGGTGAGAAATGAAAAACTTGTTTTTGTTGATTAAAAAGTACAATTGGAAAGAAATCGAGATAGAAATCCAGCGACGGTGAGAGTGGGTAGCGATTTCAAAGGAATCTGACGGCTCAGATTGCCGGCGAGAGAGGGCGGAGGAAAATGGCGGTTTGATGATATGAGAGGGTTTTGGGACGGAGGAGACGGTGGACTCAAGGGGTTTCTGATTGATGTGAAATGACCAGATCACCCTCGTTCAGATTCCCGGGTTACTTGTTGCCTTGTTGGTTTGCCACGTCAGGTTCAGCCATGCCCAAATGGAGGGAACACATTGTCAAATTTTGCACACTACCATCACTTTTGGGCATTTCGACCACACAAAAAAAAAATTCACTTTTGGGCCACACAACGAGCCCAATCCTTTGGAGGCCCTTGACGTTTTTCAACACTCTATATTGGAAGGAAGTCTTAGGTTCGACTGCCATATACGGTAACACACTCACACAAGGGCGGAACCACACTGAGGGCTACAGTGGGCTGTAGCCCAGTGTGGTTTTTTAAGAAAAAAAATATAAAACTTATTTTCAATATTAGCCCAGTCAGTGGCACTGTACAGATTACCTTATTTTCATTTTCAACATTTAAGTAAATGGAGTAATATAAAAATAAATAAAAGAAAAATGACAAAGATATTTACTTAAGTTTACAATGTAAATAAGAAAGTACCCCCTATTTGGATTCAAATAAAAATACTAGAAAATCAAATTCCCACCAAATCAAAATATGAAAAATCGGTTTTAGTGCCAAATACGATTTAGGCTAAAAATTATGGCTCATTAAGTCAATATATACTTCATACAATCCCATAAAATCAAGTTTTCTTATTTGATGTGTGAGGAATAAAAGCCGCCAAAAATTATCTTGAGAAAATAATTATTTCGAAAATCCATTTTTCATACTTAGTCAATATTTTTACATAAAATAACTTTTTATCTATAATATGAATGCATGAAAGAACCTAAGGTCAATCTAGGTAAAAAATCTTAGATGTTCAATCCACTATGGTGTTAAACCATATTTGATTTATGTTAAAACTTATTGAAAATTAGTCTATGGAGCTATGAACTAGCTTGGTTTATATGATTTAATGTTTACTTTTATTTATAAAAAGACTATAGAAATTGTAAGTACTAAAAAAAAAAATCAATAAATTTTAAAGCTAATAACTTTAGCTAGCCCACCCGTTGAAAAATTCCTGGTTCCGCCCTTGCACTCACAAATAATTGAAACCGATACATGAGTGTCTCATCTGATCCCACTTCGACATATAGAACAGTTGTACCTAAGACTTTCTCTGAATTTGATAGTCGGTTATTAAGATTTTCTATAATTTTTCAAAAATAAATTGTTTACGAATTAGTTTATTCACAGATGATTGAGATGTAATGAGGAAATAAATGTTTAGTCGACGCAGTAATAGTATGGTTATTGTGAGTGATGAGGTGTGTATATTGAAATGATGGGTACAAGTGTTTGGCACGAGTCTTTTTGCTGGCCTACATCACAGATGAAGACAATAATACTACAGGCATCAAACAGATAGGGAAGATAGAATCATAGGACACAACCCAACAAGAGTCTATTGTGGCCACAAATTAAAAGTGTTGATAATTCTCTCTTCTCTCTCTCTCTCTCTCTCTCTCTCTCTCCTCACTCTCTCCGTTGATTGCAGTAGTAAAACATGGCTTCTAACATAACTCTCCCAAGCTTTCAAGGCCCTCTTCTCAAATCCAATTTTCTTGGAAAAAATGATCTCTCCAATCGTGCTCATAAATCGTCTTTCACAATTCACAAACAGCCATCGATCCATTCCCTAAGGCCATGTGCCAAATTCAATCTATCTGAAATCTTGGGAGGCAGAGGGCTTTGCAATGGTGAAGAAGGTCTGCTACAAGAGCTTACAAAAAATGTTGAAGAACAAAAAGATGTGGAAGAACAAGTATCAGCAGCCGTTGCTGCTGAAACAGATGAAGAAAAATCAGATAGTTCTGCGGCAAGTGCTCTTAAAAGCGTTCAAGAAGATGCTTTTGAAAAGGAGCTTATGGGGCTTACTGGGGGATTTCCTGGTGGTGAGAAGGGGTTGCAAAAGTTCATTGAGAAAAACCCACCTCCCAAAAAGCCATTGGTTGCAGACTCTGGATCAACTGCGGCACTTGTGAGCTCAAAGAAGCCAAAAGCACCTGAATTGCCATTGTTGCTGCCTGGTATGATTGCCATTGTGAACAACCCTAATAGCCCTTATTACAAGTACTGTGGCATTGTACAACGAATCACCGATGGGAAAGCTGGGGTTCTTTTTGAGGGAGGGAATTGGGATAGGTTAATTACTTTCCGACTGGGAGAGCTCCTGCGCAGAGACAAGGGCCCTCCTGGCAAAAATCCCAAATCTGCCGTCCTCGAACCTTTTCTCCAAAAGGATTCTGAATGAGTCATTCCCTTAGAAACTCTATCACATGCATATGTATTTGAATTCGGAATGTGCAGTACTGAAATTTCTAGCTTAAATGGCACCCACTTGTTGAATGAGTCATTCCCTTAGAAACTTTATCACATGCATATGTATTCGAATTCGGAATGTGCAGTACTGAAATTTCTAGCTTAAATGGCAACCACTTGTATTGTAAATTGCATGAACAAGACTACAAGAGAAAACATGTCATTAGGATGCCAATCAAGATCACATCTTTATTGTTCAAAGTGTTGTCTATCATTATGAATTTCAGCTAGTAGGTTATTCTTCAAACAATAGAAAGAAGTCAACTCTGGATGCTTCCAGGTGCTTAAAAAGGGTCAAAATATTGCCCAACACATAGTCCTCTGTACTTCAATCTCCACACAGGATCAGATGCAGCCACCCAGCTGCCCAAAGACAATTAACATAAATAAGTAAATAAGTGCAAGCCCAAAGAAAAGACAGACAAGAAATTTGATTTCAAGTTTGTCACATTAGCCAAGAAAATTGATTTCAAGTTTATCACATTAGCCCTTTCAAAATTTTGATGACGATGGTTCACTGGACTAGCGCCCATCCTGATCAAGACTCAAATGTTTAGTTCACACTTTATAACTCACATATCAAAAAGAATCACCATTCATCATATACCATAGCTTTTTGGCGAACAATACATGTATCTTAAACAGTGAAGAGGAATTTCCTAACAACTGCTGACTTAGCATAGATTTATTAACTATTAGTGAAACTGAGGAATCCACCACTTTCACAACATTAGCCACTTTAGCCATTTTCGCCACTTAATACCAATAAATACATGACGCATCAAGAGGCAAGCATTATCCTTTTTACACAGTTGATTATTTGTTTAAGCCTCAATAGTGATTAAAATCACAAGACAGAGGAAGCACTTAAGGCTGCAAAATTCATTGCATGAAAATTTGATGAATCAAACCATAAGTGTAGAACTTCTTGAGACAAAAAGGAAAGTTCCACATACCAAAATGGCCTCAATCTCCTCTTTGGACACTGGTGTTCGTTCGGGTTGAAGAGAAGCTTTTCCTCCTAAGGTGGTGGTGGTTGAGGCCTTTGAACCGGAGAAGAAAGTATGAGAAGCATCACCAGCCAAAGGTTCTGCTTGAACGCGAGATTCGGAACCTGCCAAGTAAATAATTACAAGTGTTAAGAAAAAACACGAACTATGACCCACAAAGAACAACATAGTATCTAAACAAATGTGTATGACTCAATGGAGAAGAACAAGTAAGAAACTTCAAACAATAGCTGAAAATGAGGATTACAATTAAGATGAAGATCAACAATAGATTCATCATGCATGTCCAATTTTGCTACACCGATAGATATGCAACACGCACAATGTATGTATTTAATGTTCTTAGACTGTCAATTATGACTGCAAAGTCAAACAGGATTTCATCTTATCAACAGTTCTCATAAACAGTCCAACTGTCTGATAAAATAGCATTATCCCATACATATTTATATGTTGCCATAATTTGAATCCATATTACATGATTCTTCGAGTCTGAATATTACATGACTGAGCATGAGGCAATCAAAACAAGAAAACTCAAAAGTTGGTTCCCCTAAGTTATATGACTCCATATTGTCAATCTAAATTGTAGCATTGCCCACTTGTTTCGCGTACATGTCACCACATCAGAATGAATGAAACCGCCAAATCAATTAAAGATCAACAACTACCAATAAAAGTGGGGATTGGATTTGGGGTTATGTTGCATTAGTTCACCAACCTCAGAAAGTATAACGTTTAGGCCGAAACATTCAGGAACCAGCAGAAAATTCAAAACTTACATTTGAGGCTCCCTCCCCAAGTGGCATCTTCCGGTTAATCCTATTCTCAATGTAATCAATTCCCATATTTTAAGCACTGCCTACACCTTACTTTCAGCATTTGCATGATGCAGCCAAGCCGAATAGTTTATGCACTTAAACCAACAAACAGAGATTTCCATCCAATCGAGGCAGCTAATCTTAGTAAATGAAACCTATCAATCTATTAAGCTCACACAAATGGTTGCCCAGAAGCTTAAACCAATGGCAACATGTTACAAAAGCAACCAATTGAAATCAGTCTATAGTTCATACCATTAGGCGTTTTGGAGATATCACATATCCAATCTGTGATTCAATGTAAATACAGAGAAAGAAAATAAGACGTCAATAAAGTTTCCAAATTTACAAGCAACGCACAAATCTTAGGCCAATTCAACAGAACCCATAAGAATTGGAACAAAAATACAGCATAAATTCAAACACATATGCACATACATGCATAGACCTTAAAGTTAGTGGAGAGTAAAATCAATATGTTGAGGTGAAACCAATGGTTCAGAAAGCGATTAGAACGACAGACCAGATGGTTTGGGATGTCTCTGAGGAAACTTGATGCGAGGGATTCTCTTCATCGCCTGGGCTCCACCCATCTCTCTCCCCTTTTTTTTTCCCCTTCCTTCTGAGCAATCTCTCTCCTCTGTTGAAACGACGAATAAAAAAACTTAAAAGTCTAATAGTCCTCCCACATCGATATGGGTCACACCCGTTTTGTTAAGAAAAGTGTTGGAAACTTGGGACAAATAAAAAAGTAGAATTTCGACCAAAAATAAAATTAAAAAAAGTAGAATAATCTTTTACATCTTAGTGCAAATTTTTCATAACAGTTTACGCATCTAACTCTCAATATTTTCCTTTTAAATCTTAGACGAAGTATAAATTTCAAATCACTATACCATGTTAATTACAAAGAATTTTTGCCAATTAGATTAGTTAATTTTTTGCCAGTTAGATTAGTTAATTTTGCTTACCAAAAATTTATTTAGTATTTTGAGACAAATTAAAATTTTGGTATTGAAGTAAGGGGCTTGTAACTCAAATGATTAAGGTGAAACTTTAGGTTCAATTCTTCCTCTTTCAAATTGTTTATATATAAATAATATTTTTTTTAAAGTTTTGGTATTGAATTGGGACACAGATCAAAATTCAAGTACCAAAAAAACCCTAAAACTTCTTTTGCATTTTGGGTTGTATAAGAATCACCAAGTGGTGTTTGTGGCTCCAGATCTACACCAACTCCATACATATAACATAAGAGCATGTCTAATGTAAGGGCAAGGTGTAAGGAGTAAGGTGTTGTTTTAGCCCCCTCAAAATGGTACTATTCACAAAATTTAGCCTCTTAATTTTTTTGTGGGTCTAGTGGTGGTGAGGGGCTAGGGGCTAACTCAAAACTTGTTATTTTAATTTATTATTATTTCATTTGTGATAAAAATCAAAGCATAAGAAAAGCAACATAAAATTTTATTTTTGAAAACAATTTTGAGCCATACTTATGAACAGCAATTTTGAGCAAAATGAAAAAAGACAAACAAGTAAAAAAGTTTGGAGTAATTGAGAGATTTTTTAGGTGAGAAGGTGATGAACAAATGGTTAGGTTTTAATAGAGTTGTGAGCAAGGTCTAAAATATCAAGGGTTTCGGAATATCCGGGGTCCAAAAACATGGAAATATAGGAAAATTATCGATATCGGTAAATATTGAATAAAAATCATGAAAATTGTAAGAAAAACTTATGAATTTTGATTGAGACTTTAGATGATGTTTATTTAGTCAATTATCTATTATTTTATCACAAAAAAAAATTAGAAGAAAATGGATTGCATAGTGGGTTTGACTTATTTAAGTTGATTATAGAGCAAACTTACAAATATTGAGAAATGGAAGTGCCTTGTTAAGCGGCTCCTTCCTGCCCCTTACCCCTTGGTGTAAATCGGCTTGGATTCTTCTGCTTTCTCCTCCGGTACCGTAGAAAGAGGGGAGGGGTAATAAATATAGTTTTGAGTTGGACCTAACCCAGGCTAGCATGTGGGCAAAACCAGCCCCTTACTTTACCTTAGGCCGAACACATGCATTAAAAAAGTGATTTTTTTTATTTATTTGAGGCCAGATTTGGACCTAACCCAGGCCAGACCAGTCCCATTTTATTTCTTTATAGTCGAATCCATATCAGTTCCATTAGACATGCTCTAACATTTCAAAATTTGACCCAAGTGCGAGTTTGGGTCGAGCCTAATGTATAAAAGGGCTGGGCCTAAGATTCGATTTCTTGGTTAGTTTAAACTCACCAAAATCCAAATCCAAATCATAATCTATATAAGCGAAAACTATATAAAGAGTTTGGGATTTTCCTGTGCTTTGGCAGTTTAGATACGTGATTGAATTGGTCAATCTAGTCATCCTCTCATCTTTTTTCTTCTTCTGATAGATACTAATTTTTTCTCATTATTAATTTATTACTGATAATTTCTAGATATTGCTAAACTATAAGGCATATTTGAGATGGAAAACACTTGGCTCCTAAAAATTAAGCAGGAATTCCTCCTTAGAACCAATGTGTTTTTGACACGTGCTAAATTGTTTTAATATTCTTTTTTCTTTTTTGTTGAAACTTTATAAATATTTTTACAATTTGACAAATGTCAAAACCACATTGGTTTTAAGGAGGACCTCCTCCTTAATCTTAAGGAGGACCTCCTCCTTAATCTTAAGGAGTCAAGCCATCCTCATATGAGATTTGGTTGTAATAATGGATGGACCCATGATAGTCGCAATATTAAATTTTAGAGTTATTATTGCTTAGTTGAACAATCACTTTTGGTTTAAAAAAAAAAAAAAATTTGAAAAAAATACAATCACTTGTTTTTTTTGGTCCATTTATTAGGAGTTTAATTTTCCTGTGCCCTCCTGTTTCTTTCTTAATATTTCGCCACCTATACTCATACTAAACATAGAGATAACGCCCGTTATCTCATGGTTCAAATTTCAAAACAACAAATATTAAAAATGAAAATAAAAAAAGTTTTTATTTTTATTTGTATTTTTATAACTCTCTGTAGTTTCACGGGCTTATTGATCCTGTTTGGGTCTTCATTCACATTAACAATTTCCTTGGAAATTAGGTCTGTTTCTTTTCTTCCCTTTCTCCCAAATTCTAATTATATTTGACTTTTTTGTTTATCGAGAAACACGAGGAACATAACAGAATTGATTAATATTTTTTGGATTGATCTTTGAAGAATATGTTATGCGTTTCTTCAGCAACTAAAAGAATTAC